CAACGCCCCTTAATGTGTCCGTGAATTAATTATGTCCCTAAAAGATGGCATCGGTGGCCTAGCGGTTAGGCTACTGGGTTCGGGGCAGGGCTGGGCAATGAGTCGCTTTAGCAAAGTCCGGATAATATGTTAGTGCACCTCTTCGGTAAATAATATTTTATGAACCGATTCGACAAATGGGTTAGAACCACTTTGACTAACGGGTTCGCATCACTTGAACAAATGGTGCACCCACTTCCGCAAACGGGTCATGAAAGAGAGGTAAGAGTCTGAATTCGGATAATGTCTTATTGAGGATTATCCGATTATCCGGATATTTATCCGGATTTTGCCCACCTCTAGTTCGGGGGTTCGAGCCGCGGGCCTGACGTTGTGTCTATGGGAAAGGCACTTTACACGAATTTTCCTCTCTTCACCCAGGTGGGAATGGGAACCCGGCCATAGACAGTGGAAGATCTTGTCACTATGTTTGTATTTTAGTGCCAATAAATGGCTGCTTGCACTGTATGCCTCCCAGGAAGTTGAGGTTGTTTCAGAATGAGCTCAAGTCTACTGGGGTAATTATAACAGTATAGATTGTGAAGCACAAAGAGATTGCTTTTGAGCGGGGATTTGCGCTATACAAATCTATTATAATAAGATATTAATTATGTGATTATTGTTGTGATCCATTGTGAGAGACAGGAACAACGAATGATTGAATTGGAAAGCCTGGATCGGGAAAAAAAGGGGGGGAGGTGTTAATGTGTCTTTTTGTCTCAATATTCCCCGAGTTGGTTCGTTCTGAAGGCTCTTACTTCAGTTTAGTTTAGTTAGAGTTTTGCGGCACTTGCAACACAATTAGGTCAAATAAGTGGCGTAGATATAGATCTGTTGCAAGAGAGAAACACACGCAGAGAGAAGGAGACGAGATAAGTACAATAGACATATTGTTTTACGACGTGGTGCATGGAATCAGGCGCCTGTTAATGTTTGTGTATATTATGGAGTTATTGTTGACACTATATAGCGTATTTATTTGTCTTGCTTGCGATAATAAAAATTAGCCATCTATCTTGAATAAAAGTCAAAATATTTGCAATTGAAGGGGGTTCGGGTCACCTGATTTCAGAGGTAAAATTAGAGAGAAAATGGCCGCCAAAGTCTGGTGTCTTACATAGATAGAGAGGCCGTGGAAACAAATAATTTACATTTTTTGAGTACTTAATCGACTTTCTAAAATTGAAATCTTCACAGAAATATATTTTTCAATATGTATAAAAGGTGTTGAACAAAGAAAAAAAAATTGGAAAAAAAATTGAAAAAATAAAGTTGCGAAACCCACGGGAAAAATAATGTCGATTTCTCTTATTTCATTTTTGGACGAGCGCCTCAATTATACCACTCTGCCCTTATTGATACGACCGAAGGAACAAACCACACCAGAACACCCGCCAACCACCCACACGTCCCTTACTTTTTTTTATGGTAGAGGGTTGTACTGCGCTCGCAACTGCAAAATAATAATAATAATAATAATAGATAGCATTTGTATAGCGCATATTCCCGCTCAACAGCAGGCTCTATGCGCTTTACACTATAAATAAGGTCATATGAGCGCCAGTCCCTTACTTTAGGAGCTGGGAACAGGTCCATCATGTAGATGTTGCTTTGTTCCATGGTGGCCCCGTCAGGGTCAACGGCTTTGATGTTTGGGTCCTGTTCCAGGAAGGACCTCAGGTGTCGCATCTCATGTTTCGTCAGGTCGTGGAAGGGTCCGGGCTTGTCAGGCTCACCCCTGTGTGGACGGCAGTTGTGTTTGTTAGTGTGTTTGTAAATCATTATGTGTTTGTAGGTGTGTTTGTAAATTTTATGTCTGTAAGTGTGTAAATAATTATGTCTTTGTAAATTATGTGTCTGTAAGTGTGTTTGTAAACTATGTGTTTATAAGTGTGTACGTGTGTTTGTAAATTAAATGTTTGTAAGTTTGTTTGTTAATTATGTGTTTGTTAGTGCGTTTTGTGTCTGTAAGTGTGTTTGTAAATTATGTGTTTATAAGTGTGTTTGTAAATTATGTGTTTGTAAGTGGGTAAATGTGTTTGTAAATGGTGTGTTTGTAAGTGTGTTTGTAAATTATGTGTTTATAAGTGGGTAAATGTGTTTGTAAATTTTTTTGTCTGTAAGTGTGTTTGTAAATTATGTGTTTGTAAGTGTGTTTGTAAATTATGTGTTTGTAAGTGGGTAAATGTGTTTGTAAATGGTGTGTTTGTAAGTTTGTTTGTAAATTATGTGTTTATAAGTGGGTAAATGTGTTTGTAAATTTTGTGTCTGTAAGTGTGTTTGTAAATTATGTGTTTGTAAGTGTGTTTGTAAATTATGTGTTTGTAAGTGGGTAAATGTGTTTGTAAATTGTGTGTTTGTAAGTGTGTTTGTAAATTATGTGTTTGTAAGTGTGTTTGTAAAATATGTGTTTATAAGTGGGTAAATGTGTTTGTAAATTGTGTGTTTGTAAGTGTGTTTGTAAATTATGTGTTTATAAGTGGGTAAATGTGTTTGTAAATT